TGATATGTATCATATACATCTTGAGAAATCAAGACAAGTATATAAAGAAACTATTATGGATGGTTAGCTATATATTTCAAGATATTAATATCTAGACGAAGAAATAACTAGAAATCATAGAGAAATCTAATAATAAGACAAAGTGAATTGAAATATCTTAGTAACTTTAGGAAAAGAAATCAAACGAGATTGTTATTTGGTGTCTTCTAAATAGCAAGAGCCTTTTAAATATATGAAAAATGGTAATACATTTTTCATATATTTTAAATAATATAACGGAAAAAAATCTGTTAAAATATAGGGGACCCTTCCTCTAAGGCTAAAAAAAATATATAAGCGATAGAGTATCAGTACCGTGAGGGAAATACACTGAAATAGTAGGTTTAAAAGCAGCTCGAGTGAAAATTTAAATAAATAATAAGAGTGTACCTTTTGCATAATGGGTCAGCAAGTTAATTTTAGATGCAAGTATTATACTTAACTACACATAATTTAGACTACATAATATATATGTATGTTAATATGTGATAATGATAAAGAATAATACGTAGATAAACCAATTATGAAAAAATGAATAAGTATCTAGAATTAGACCCGAAGGCTAGTGATCTTACCATGGTCAGGGTTATAAAAGCCCGAACGGGTTATCGTTGTAAAGATATCCGATGAACTGTGGTAAGTTAGTGAAAGACAAAACTGACTAGTATAGCTGGTTTTCCGCGAAACCTATGTAAGTAGGTAATTTAATTAACATCTTAGCAGGTACAGAACTGTGATCTCGGACAATATCATAGATATTTGTCAACATCGGGGGGTTGTAGTGACTTTACCGGAGAGTATTTGCACTCGGAAGGGCAAAGATGAATGTTAAATAATCGGACATAGTGCGATAAGGTTGTATGTCTAAAGGGAAACAGCCCAGAACAAGAGTTAAGGTTCCAAAATTATTGTTAAGTGAAATTAAGGATGTTTTTTTTTAAAACAATCAGGAAATAGGCTTAGAAGCGGCCATTTTTTGAAGACCTCGTAACAGAGCACTGATTAATAATTTAGGAAAAAACGCCGAAAATTTAACGGATCTAAATAATATACCGAAACCTTGTACACAAAAAAACAATAAATATATAGTTTTATTTTGTGGGGTAGCGGAACATTGGATTAAACTGTATATTAATATTTTTCTTAAAATATTAAAAAAAGTATAATTAATAGTTTTAATTGTATTTTAATTAATTAAAATACAATTAATATAATAAGTATTATATTTAGTATTATTAGATATTAAGTATATGATACTTTTTATAATTTATTTACTATATAATAAGTTATATAATCTTAAATATTATCTGTTAAATCCAAGAGAGAATGCTGACATGAGTAACGAAAAAGGCTGTTTAGCCTCGCCTGAAGCTTATGGTTTTTAAAAAAATCGGTGTCTAAAAAGATTAATCAAAAGATAATTTTGATGACGTAGGATTTTATCTAAGTAATAATAACCAAAACCTTTAACAAGTAATAAAGGTTCTGGAAAAGTTTATTATTTTATTAGATAAATTATTATATTTACTTAAATTTATTAGTATTAACTAATAATTAAGGGTACTAAATATAATATCTAACCGTACCTAGAAACTAACTCAAGTAAGCAAGTAGAGAATACAAAGGCGTTTGAGAGAACAATCATTAAGGAACTCGGCAAATTGACTCTGTACCTTCGGAATAAGGAGGGCCATTATCATTAATTACGATATTATGTAATTGATTACATAATATCTAATATAATGATAAGAGGAATCATGAAATAATGTTGTACGACTGTTTAATAAAAACACAGCACTCTGCAAAGATAAAAAATCAAAGTATTGAGTGTGATGTCTGCCCAATGTCGGCTGGGTAACGGATTTACCTTGATTATTAACTGAGGTTTTGAAGGACACCCCGATTAATGGCGGCCTTACCTATGAGGGTCCTAAGGTAGCGAAATACCTTGGCCGTTAAATGCGGTCCTGCATGAATGACTTAACGATGCAACAGCTGTCTCGATGATTGTCTCAGTGAAATTGGAATAGCAGTGCAGATACTGTTTACCTCTAGATAGACGAGAAGACCCTATGCAGCTTTACTGTTACTAATTACAAGAGTGAAAATTTAGGATGATTTATAGTGTATAAGGTAGTTGATGAGATAACAATGAAACACCTTTATTCGAATCCTTATATATACTCTTGATGATTGGGAGGCAGTTTATGCGGGGCACAGATCCCACAAAAAGTACCTGGGTATATCCAAAGTTCATATTGTAAACTTGTATATTTATATACAAATATTTTAATTTGTTCTAATTATTATTATAATTATACAGTTATTATTCGATTAAATTCCACAATAATTTTTTATTTTAAGTAAGATTTTAACTATGCGGTGAATAGATGTATTTTAAACTTTACCTGTCTATATAGGCGGGCTATACTAAAAGTTTATTTGTTATATTAATAAAGTATTTATCTTTATTAATATAATGTTTATAAATACTTTAAAAGTTTAATGGCTAAATCTTGCTTTACTGTTTGACCTACAAGTCTATCAGTCGCGTAAGCGGGGCATATGATCACAAGATGCATTAAGGAAAGGTCTTGGATTATAGAAAAAGTTACGCTAGGGATTTATAACTGTGAGTCCTCCAATATTATAAAATATTGGTAATATATTGGGTAAATTTCAAAGATAACTTATATTAATTAAGTGTATTTGAAGCGAAACTTATTTTAGCATGTATTTATCTTTAGATAAATTAAAATAAGGACGTTCAACGACTAAAAGGTGAGTATAGCTAACAATAATCCTTTTTTAACGCCCAACATCTTTATTAATTATTATCATTGTTTGTATAATTATTATTATTATTTATAATAATGTATTAGACTTGGTTTTTCAAGCTTTAATATTATATAATTAATTATATTAATTATATTAATATATATAAATATATAAAAATATGTTAAATATTATAAAATCAAAATTAAATAATACATATAAAAAAAAAGCATCTAATAATTCTACTGTAGTTGTTTATAATAAAGATGTAGTTCCTGCAGTAAGAAATTGAAAAAGTAGTATTTATGCTTATAACAAAAATGCTATAAATTTAATTCCTATTAAAAGCAGATATGTAATGAAATTAATTAAAGCATATTTTAATTTATATCATTTGGAACTAGAATCTTTATTAAGAAAAAATAGATTACGTCGTAGATTTAGAAAAATATCAACTAATAGAATATTTATTAGTGATGGTGAATTTAAACATACTAATGATAAAGTAAATATAACATTATATGTTTATAATAAACAAAAACTTAATTATTTATTAAAACTTAAAAAAAGATATATAAGATTATTTAAAAACCCTAAATTTGCTAATAAATTAAAAAAATTAAGAAAATTAGGATTAAATATTTTATTTAAACAAAATCAAAAAAGTATATTATTAATGAATCTTTTACCTAAGTATAATACAAAAGTAAAAACAGCACAAAATATTTATTATACAAGATTTATTAAAAAAAGTTTTAAAAGATTAAAATTTTTTATGTATTATAAACAAATACTTTATATAAATAAAGCTAAATTTGAATATTCATATTTACAAGGTTTAATTAATTTGGTAAGAAATATTTTTAATAAAAATGTTGAATTTAATATAATTAATTTAAAATATTTTTATTTTAATAGTAAAATATTTTCTCAACCTTTAGAATTAAAATTAAAAAAAAAAAGAAATGTATTAAGATATCTTAAAGTTTTAATAAGAAAATCAAAAATTAAAAATGTTAAATTAGCAGAAATATCAAAAAAATTATTTAATTTTAATAATATGAATTCTAATAATTTTTTACAACAAGATAATACAGATTCTAAATACCTAAAAAAAATTATTTTAAGTAATTTAAAATATAAAAGAGTATCTGGTGTTAGATTAGAAGCTGCTGGTAGATTAACTAGACGTTTTTCAGCTTCTAGATCTCAACGTAGAACTAAATATAAAGGAAATTTAGAAAATGTTTATTCTTCTATTAAAGGTTATCCAACACCTATGTTAAGAGGAAATGATAAAGCTAATTTACAATATACTGTAATTAACTCTACTTCACGTGTTGGAGCTTTTGGAGTTAAAGGTTGAGTAAGTGGTACTTAATTAATTTTCTTTTTTTTTTTTTCAATTATCCCTCCCTTAAATTAATTAATAAAGATGATGAAATAGTCTGAACCGTTTTGAGAAAAATGGAAATAAAAGTAAAATTGACGCGCAAAGCGCGTTTATTCAGCATTAGACTGAATCTTTTATGATAACATAAATTGAACAGGCTAATTTGCGCAAGAGAGTACAAATTGAGTGCGCGGTTTGGCACCTCGATGTCGGCTTAGCTCATCCTCATGCATGCAGAAATCATGAAGGGTTCGACTGTTCGTCGATTAAAGAGCTACATGAGCTGGGTTTAATACGTCGTGAGACAGTATGGTTTCTATCTTCTAGAGGAACATAAAGTAGATTAAAGATAGCCCCTTCGTACGAAAGGAGTTGGGTATATTGATCTCTGGTTTACCTGTTGTTTATGTTTTATATTATAATTTTATTATAATAATAACTAATACTTATACTAAGGTATTGTTACACTACATGGTGTGGGTGTAACTAGACCACATAGGCATGGCAGGAAAGCTACATCAGTTTAAGATAAGTGTTGAAAGCATCTAAACGCGAAGCAAACTTTATGATACTTATATACGTAGTAGAACACTACGAGTACAATTGTTATAATTATAACAATTAATAGGCTTTGGTTGTAAGAATGAAAACATTTTTAGATATAAAGTACTAATTTTTAATATTATTTAATATTATACTAAATATTTTCTAATATCATTTATTTTATTTTCGGATAAAGCCTTTTTAGCATAAAAGTAATGCAACCGTTTTGTAATCGGTAGAAGTGAGTTCGATACTCGCATAAGGCTATAAATATTATATATACATAATATTTAATAAAAAAAAGACCCAATGGTCAAGACTGGTTAAGACATAACATTTTCACTGTTAGTGCGGGAGTTCAAATCTCCCTTGGGTTAAAAGAGATTAGCTCAGTTGGTAGAGCTGTCGCTTTACACGCGAAAGGTCAGGTGTTCAAATCACCTATCTCTTAATGCGAATTAATGTAATAGTAACATATATGGCTCATGCCCATAAAATTTAGGTGCAACCCCTAAGTTCGCAACCAAAGACTATAGCTTAATTGGTTAAAGCGAACCACTCATGATGGTTTGAGTAAATGTTCAAGTCATTTTAGTCTTAGATAATCCGAGTGCTGGAATTGGTAGACAGTCTTAATTTAAGCTTAAGTGGCGCAAGCCGTAAACGTTCGAATCGTTTCTTGGATATATTAGGGGTTATAGTTTAACTGGTAAAACGACGATTTTGCATATCGTTATTTCAGGATCGAGTCCTGATAACTCCATAATCATTAATTTATAACGCTTGAGAAGCTCAATTGGTAGAGCGAATCATTGAAGCTGATTAGGTTGTAAGTTCAAATCTTATCTCGAGCAAATATGGGTATTAATAAACATGGATATGCTGAAATTGGAAAACAGGTTTCATTTAGGCTGGAATAGTGCTCAACTTTACAAGTTCAAGTCTTGTTATCCATATTTATATTTATGTTTATATAATTTATGTTGTCGACTAATCGGTAAGTCATAAATTTTTGGTATTTACTATTGGGTGTTCGAGTCGCCCCAACATAATATAAGATAATATTATATATTATTTATATATCATTTATGCCAGAATAGTTCAATCGGTAGAACAATAATTTCATGAATTAAGAATGAGAATTCGAATTTCTCTTCTGGCTAACACAAGTGCTTTTTTAGGTATAGTTAGCCTTTTTATAACTTATTTAATAACTATATATTTATTTCATATATAGAATCTTTATATTATTTATATTTGTATTTTTAATGTAAATAATTATATTAGGTGGGTATAGTTCAATGGTAGAACGGCTGTATGTGGCACAGTATATCCTAGTTCAATTCTAGGTATCCTCCCTACGTTACAATATTGTAATTCAATGGTAGAACGGCTGTATGTGGCACAGTATATCTTAGTTTTATTCTAGGTATCCTATGTTACAATATTGTAATTCACATAATAATACATTTAACATTATATTCTTGTTCCTATTCTATATTAATGTATAATATATAATTAAAGATAAAGTATATTTATATTATATTATACCTATATAGATGTCTTTCTAGATAGTTTATAGTCCTCTATCTAAACCAAAAGAATATACAGTCAATATTAACAAATTAACTAATTTAGTTAATTTGTTATGATATAAACAAAACAAAATAAAGCAAAACTATACAGTCAATAATAATAATAAAAAAAACTAATAATTTAGTTAATTTATTATGACTAATAAGTAAACAAAATATTAATAATTTAGTTAATATTTTGCCAATAAAGACGGCTTAAAAAAAATTTTTTTTTTAGTTATCTTGCCACTTTTTCAATAATGACTTAATTTTTTTTTTTAGTCATTTTTTATATAATGACTTGAAAATTTTTTTTGTTTTTTTTAAGTCATTTTTTGTAGTTGACTTCTTTTATATTTCTAAAAGAAGCTACACAAGTGTTGATTTTAAAATTTTATTTAAAAGACGCTATTAATGTGTTGACTTTTAAATTTTATTTAAAAGACGCTACTCTTGTATTGACTTTTAAATTTGAATCTTTCTTATTCTATTAATTATACGTCTTTTTTTAACCTTTTTAGTATGTATAAACAACATAGAATTTTATTTTTTATTTATATTACTAATATAAATTATTGTTTATATTAGTGATATAATATAGATTATATTATTAATATAGATTAAGATATATATTTATATATATATATATCAATTATATTTATATATGTCTCTATATATATATATAATTATAGAATAAAAATTTAAATAAAATTTAAAAGTCTTTTACATTATATTGAATTTTTAAATACTAAAATAAATTAATATATAAAATGAATATAAATAAAAATTATACCTTTTCGGATTATAATGACACTAATGTTTTAGAACAAATAGATACCATTAGAGAATTCTCAACTACAATAGATAGAAAAGCCGTGTATGAGGATACACAAGTAGAAAATAGAATATGAAGTTTTAAAAACCCTACAGAATGGCAAGAACGTTGATTCTTATCATCTAATGCAAAAGATATTGGAACTCTTTATTTAATGTTTGCATTATTTTCTGGTTTAATTGGAACAGCATTTTCTGTACTTATAAGATTAGAGTTATCAGGTCCAGGAGTTCAATATATATCAGATAATCAATTATATAATAGTATAATAACAGCACACGCTATAATGATGATATTCTTTATGGTTATGCCTGCTTTAATAGGAGGTTTCGGTAATTTCTTATTACCTTTATTAGTAGGAGGTCCAGATATGGCATTTCCTAGATTAAATAATATAAGTTTCTGATTATTAGTACCTAGTTTATTATTATTTATTTTCTCAGCTACAATAGAAAATGGAGCAGGTACAGGATGAACATTATACCCACCATTATCAGGAATACAATCTCACAGTGGACCAAGTGTAGATTTAGCAATATTTGGTTTACATTTAAGTGGTATAAGTAGTATGTTAGGTGCTATGAATTTTATAACAACTATTTTAAATATGAGAAGTCCTGGAATACGTTTACACAAATTAGCTTTATTTGGATGAGCTGTTATTATTACAGCTGTATTATTATTATTATCATTACCTGTATTAGCAGGTGGTATAACTATGATTTTAACAGATAGAAATTTTAATACTTCATTCTTCGAAGTAGCTGGTGGAGGTGATCCTATATTATTCCAACATTTATTCTGATTCTTCGGACATCCTGAAGTTTATATTTTAATTATACCTGGGTTTGGTATTATAAGTACAGTTATTTCAGCTGCATCAAGTAAAAACGTATTCGGTTACTTAGGTATGGTTTACGCTATGTTATCTATTGGTGTATTAGGATTTATAGTTTGAAGTCATCACATGTATACTGTTGGTTTAGATGTTGATACTAGAGCTTACTTTACTGCTGCTACTTTAATTATTGCTGTACCTACAGGTATTAAAATATTTAGTTGATTAGCTACATGTTATGGTGGATCTTTACATTTAACACCTCCTATGTTATTTGCTTTAGGATTTGTTGTATTATTCACTATTGGTGGTTTAAGTGGTGTTGTATTAGCTAATGCTTCACTTGATGTAGCATTCCATGATACTTATTATGTTGTAGCTCATTTCCATTATGTATTATCTATGGGTGCTGTTTTTGCATTATTTAGTGGTTGATATTTCTGAATTCCTAAAATATTAGGTTTATCTTATGACCATTTTGCTGCTAAAGTTCATTTCTGAATTTTATTTGTTGGTGTTAATTTAACTTTCTTCCCTCAACATTTCTTAGGTTTACAAGGTATGCCTAGAAGAATAAGTGATTACCCTGATGCTTTCTATGGTTGAAATTTAATTAGTAGTATTGGTTCTATTGTTAGTGTTGTAGCTACATGATATTTCTTAACTATTATTTATAAACAACTTACAGAAGGTAAAGCTGTATCAAGATATCCTTGATTAACTCCTCAATTATTCAGTGATACATTCCAAGTATACTTTACTAGAAACAATAGTTCTTTAGAATGATGTTTAACTAGTCCACCTAAACCTCACGCTTTTGCAAGTTTACCTTTACAATCTTAATAGTGTAATAGGTTTTAAAATATATATTATTTAAAAGTATATAATACTTATGTAATAATTTGTTTAATTTGTTATATATATATATATATATATATATATATATATATATATCTTATAATATGATATATTTTATATATAATTATATAAAAAAAATAACCTGTAAATTTAAAATAGTTAAATAACTATTATAAAGCAATATAGGTGATAGGTATCATATACTTCTTGAAAAAATAACTATAAATTTCAACATAAAAATGAAAATAAATAGTAATATATCATATATATGATGTATATCACCCGCTTATGTAATTAGAGTTATAAGTGCTATAAGTCATCCAAATTAAAATTTATAATAATTATAAATTTTAATACTTTATGAAAATAAATAATATTACAAAATAAATAACATTACAAAATAAATAACATTACAAAATAAAAAAATATTATAAAATAAAGTCTAATTAGCTCAGGATGACTTAATATTGAGCTAACTTAGATAAAATAATAAATATTACGCTATTAATAAAAATAAAATTTTATACGATTTCTACATATTAAAAAGGTAAAAAAAAAATATGTTTAATTAGTATATAAAAAAAGATTTAAATTTAAAAGTTCATATAAGTATATTAGATTTTTAAATACTTTGAAATAAAAAAAATGAGAAAAAATTCAATAACTCTTGTAGGAAATAACAAGTCACAAAATAGTATATCTAATAGTAATGAAATATTAGATAATAATAATTTAGGTTCATCTTTTGTAGGAAATAACAATTCACAAGATAGTGTATCTAATAGTAATAATTCTGATTCAGTATTTGAAAAAATAGGAATAAATACTGAAATAGTACAAAATAGTTCTAATGTTATAAGAGTAAAAAAGAGATCTTTATCACAAGCATCTGATTCTTCTCATATAAATTTAAAACACAAAGGTTTAAATGATGAATTTAATAATCAAAATGATATACAAGAAGAATCTAATAATCAAAATGATACACAAAATATAGTTCAAAATTTACAAAATTCTATAAATGATAGACAAGAAAAAATCAATAAATTAATCGATGAAACTTGACAAACAATTATTGAAATTGATAATAAGAAAGAAACAATGGAAGATTCTATTTTACCAATACCTGAACATGATCTTCCTGGTATTATGATACGTGTACGTGAAAAAATAGATACTCATTTTAGTAATAAAATTATAGCATATGACGATACTTTTGATAGTACATTAGGTACAAACCCTAATAATCCAAATTCAGAAGTAAGAATAAATATTTTTCGTGATGCAGAAAATATTGTAAATCCTACACGTTTACCTGATTCAGAATTTAATCCTGGAGTAATAAGAAGTATAGAAAATACTGAAGAATTATCAAATGAAGTTCAAGAACATATAAATGCAAATTCAATAGATTTAATGAGAGTAGATTTTCCAGAATTATATATGCAGTATCCTGAACATCCTAATGATCACGTGTTAACTGTTGAAAGTACAGATGATGATAATTCTGGTATAGATCCTGAAGACTCAGACGATTATGATATAGAATCTGAACATTCAGATGATTATGATATAGAATCTGAACATTTAGACGATGAGAATATAGGTATGGTAGATTTATTTACAGATAAATCATTAGAGGAAATAGAATTTAGTGATAATTTACGTTTAGACCGTTTTGAGTATGATAATTATTTAGTATTAATGCAAGGTATTGATAATTTAAATTATCGTACAGTTTTTGAAGATATAAGAGAATATTTAGATTACGTTAATATATTAAAAAATCAACACGTAGAAATGTTACGTAATATAGATCTTATGGATATAAGTATTTATAATAGGGTAACACATGAAATCTTTGAAGCTTTATTATACATAGCTCAATTTAATTAATGATATTTTTTATAATTTTTGAAAGTATATGACTATATTATATATAATAAATTAATAGAATTAATGTTACAAGCAGCAAAAATAATAGGTACAGGAATGGCTACAACAGGATTAATAGGAGCAGGTATAGGAATTGGAGTTGTTTTTGGTGCATTAATATTAGGTGTAGCAAGAAATCCTTCATTAAGAGGACAGTTATTTTCATATGCAATATTAGGTTTTGCTTTTGCAGAGGCAACAGGATTATTTGCTTTAATGATGGCTTTTTTATTATTATATGTAGCATAATTATATATAATAAAAACATTATATTGTATGTAAATCTTATTATTTGTTTTCTTTTTAAGTATTTAAATTAATATTAACTTAAAACTTAACAAGAAAATATTAATAAAAAAACTTATAATGTATAAAAATTAAAAATTTTTAATATGACAACAACAACTTTTTTTTTATTCTTAATACCTGTATTAGGTATAATATTATTATCAGTGAATTTAATACTTTCACCACATAACCCATATCAAGAAAAAGATAGTGCTTTTGAATGTGGTTTTCATTCTTTTTTAGGGCAAAATAGAACACAATTTAGTATTTCTTTTTTTATATTTGCTTTATTGTTTTTATTATTTGATTTAGAAATATTATTAGTATTTCCTTATGTAGTTAGTGCTTATACTAATGGTATATATGGTTTATTAATTATGTTAGTATTTTTTTTAGTATTAACTTTAGGTTTTGCTTTTGAATTAGGTAAAAATGCCTTAAAAATAGAAAGTAGACAAATATTTAATTTTAATATAAAATCTTGAAATGGTTATTCTTTAATATATAAATAAATTATATCTTATAAAAAAAAAATATGTATTTACATTATACATATAGTTTACATAAATACGCATTAAAAAAATAATAACACAAAAATTTATAAAAATGTTTTTACAAAATCTTTTACATTTAGATGCTCCAACTCCATGGGGGTTATTTTTTCAAGATAGTGCTTCACCTCAAATGGAAGGTATTGAAGAATTACATAATAATATTATGTTTTATTTATCTATTATATTATTTACTGTAACATGAATGATAATTTCTATAATTAGAAATTTCTTAGCTAATAAATCACCTATATCACATAAATATATGAATCATGGTACTTTAATAGAATTAATATGAACTATATCTCCAGCATTTATATTAATATTAATAGCTTTCCCATCTTTTAAATTATTATATTTAATGGATGAGGTAGTTGATCCATCTTTGGTTGTATATGCTGAAGGTCATCAATGATATTGAAGTTACCAATACCCTGATTTTACTAATGCAGATGATGAGTTTATAGAATTTGATTCATATATAGTACCTGAAAGTGATTTAGAAGAAGGTCAATTTAGAATGTTAGAAGTTGATAATAGAGTAATTATACCTGAATTAACACACACAAGAATTGTAATTTCAGCTGCTGATGTTATACATTCTTATGCTTGTCCTTCTTTAGGTATTAAAGCTGATGCTTACCCTGGTAGATTAAATCAAGCTTCTGTTTATATAAACCGTCCAGGTACTTTCTTTGGGCAATGTTCAGAAATATGTGGTATTTTACACAGTTCTATGCCTATAGCTATACAATCAGTATCAATTAAAGATTTTTTACTATGATTAAGAGAGCAAATGGAAGGTTAAAAACAGGAATTATAAATTTAAATATAGATAAAAAAAAATGATGATGATGATAATGACAAATATGTTAGCCACAATGGCGCAATATACAGATACTGTTTTAGAAAATGTTGAATTTTTAAATAATTGAGATGAAGATACTCTAAGTGAAATTAGAAGTACCTTTAGTTCTACTAATGATAACAATAGTATGTCTCAAAGTAGTGTAAGTGATTTTGGTTCTGATGGAAGTTCAGATGATGGTAGTAGTTCAGATGAAAGTGTAGAACTTGATAATACTAACGATTTTAGATTGTATTTATTTGAAGAGGTTAATAATTCTATTACTTATACAAGAAATTTAGTAATAAATACTATAGATGAGCAAGTAAAAAATTTTATGGATTGTTTCCGTAATAATACTGATTTACGTTTAAATGGTTTTAACCAATGAGTAGAACCAACTTATTCTAGATTACATACTTTTGAATTTAATCCAAGTCATGTTACAATAGTTAGAGGTGCTATTACTTCTTTAATAACAGAAGTAGCAAATACTAGTAGATATGCGGCTATAGAAACACCACAAGAAATGTTAAAATATGCTTCATGATTATCTCATCAATTTCTTGTTTATATTGAATTAGGTATTCACTACAAATTTGAATATGTAAATAGTTTAAGTAGTTATAAATGTACTGTAACATTACCAGATGGTCATAAAATGTTATTTCAAGATAAATCAGCATTAACTGATTTTATATATAGACACAGACTAGCTCATATGTATATATCACCATTTAATAATTCTAATATCAATTATGATCCTGATTCACTTACGCAACTAAGAAAAACACAAGATTATATTCTTAGTGTTATAAATAGAGGACGTACGGGTTGTCAATATGATTCACCTTATAACTTACGAATAGCAAGGTATGTTATGGATTATTATATTGTAGATAAACGTTAAATAAAATATAAGATTTTTTTTAATAGTATTTATATATTATTATATAATTTATATAATAAAATGTGTTAATTCAATGGTAGAATAGCGTGCTACGGACACGTAAATATGAGTTCAAATCTTATACACATTTAAAAAAATCTAATATTAATATATAATGTATTTATTATTAATATAAATAAATAAATAATAAATATGTAGTATAGATAAATCAAATAAAAAATATATATAGATATTATGAATTTTTCAATATTTTTATTTCTTATAGGAATATTAGGGTTTGTTTTAAATAGAAAAAACATCATATTAATGTTAATATCAATAGAAATAATGTTATTATCAGTAACATTTTTAATATTAATAAGTTCACTTAGTTTTGATGATATCTTAGGGCAAACTTTTGCTGTATATATTTTAACAATAGCAGGAGCAGAATCTGCAATAGGTTTAGGTATATTGGTAGCATATTATAGATTAAGAGGAAGTATATCTATACAATATAAATAAATGTATTTAACATTGATAATTTTACCATTATTAGGTTCAATAATATCAGGTTTTTTTGGTAGAAAAGTAGGTATAACAGGATCACATATAATAACATGTGGTGCGGTAATAACTACAACATTATTAGCTATAATAGCTTTTTTTGAAGTAGGTTTTAATAATATACCAGTAACAATAAATGTAGCAAGATGAGTAGATGTAGAATCATTATATGTATTATGAAACTTTAGATTTGATTCATTAACAGTATCAATGTTAATACCAGTATTAATAGTTTCTAGTTTAGTACATGTATATTCTATAAGTTATATGAGTCATGATCCACATAATCAAAGATTTTTTAGTTACTTAAGTTTATTCACATTTATGATGATTATACTTGTAACAGGAAATAATTATTTAATTATGTTTGTAGGTTGAGAAGGTGTAGGTGTTTGTTCATATTTATTAGTAAATTTCTGATTTACTAGAATAGCAGCAAATCAAAGTTCTTTATCAGCTTTATTAACTAATAGAGTAGGTGATTGTTTATTAACTGTAGGTATGTTTGCTATATTATGATCTTTTGGTAATATAGATTATAGTACAGTATTTGCATTAGCACCATATTATAATGAAACTATAATCACAATTGTGGGTATATGTTTATTAATAGGTGCTACAGCTAAAAGTTCTCAAGTAGGTTTACATATTTGATTACCTCAAGCTATGGAAGGTCCTACACCTGTATCTGCTTTAATTCATGCTGCTACTATGGTTACAGCAGGAGTATATTTATTAATGAGATCATCACCATTAATTGAATATAGTTCAACTGTATTAGTATTATGTTTATGATTAGGTGCTATAACTACAGTATTTAGTTCTTTAATTGGATTATTCCAACAAGATATTAAAAAAGTTATTGCTTATTCAACTATGAGTCAATTAGGTATGATGGTAATAGCTATAGGTTTATCTAGTTATAATTTAGCTTTATTTCATTTAGTTAATCACGCTTTTTATAAAGCATTATTATTCTTAGGTGCTGGATCAGTTATACACGCAGTAGCTGATAATCAAGATTTTAGAAAATATGGTGGTTTAAGAGAATTTTTACCTTTAACTTATTCAGTTATGTTAATAGCTTCATTAAGTTTAGTAGCTGTACCTTTCATGACAGGATTCTATTCTAAAGATTTTATTTTAGAATCTTCTTATGGTCAATTCTATTTATCAGGTACTATAGTTTACTTTGTAGCTACTATAGGTGCTATGTTTACTACACTTTATTCAGCTAAAGTTTTATATTTAACTTTCTTAGCTAATCCTAACGGACCATTATCTAGTTATAAACATGCACATGAAGGTGATATATTCTTAACTTTACCTTTAATAATCTTATCTATTTTCTCTATATTCTTTGGTTATTTAACTAAGGATATTTTTATAGGTTTAGGTACTGGTTTCTTTGTTGATAATAGTTTATTTATTCATCCTAGTCATGAAATTATGTTAGATACTGAATTTGCTGTACCTACATTATTTAAATTATTACCTTTTGTATTTACAGTTTCTTTAAGTATTATTTCAGTATTATTCTCTGAATTCTTACCTAAATTACTTATTAACTTTAAATTCTCAAGATTTGGTTATAATATTTTTAGTTTCTTTAATCAAAGATTCTATATAGAATTATTCTATAATAAATATATTGTAGAAGGTGTTCTTAAATTAGGTGGTCAAACTACTAAAAGTCTTGATAAAGGTTCAGTTGAATTTTTAGGACCTTATGGTTTAGAAAAAGGATTATTATCTTTAAGTAATAGTTTAGGTAAATTAAGTACTGGTGTAGTTACTACTTATGCTTTATATATATTAATAGGTTTAATATTCTATATTTCATTAATATATTTTTCATATAATGATAATAATTTATTTATATTAGTTATATTTACTTTTTTTGCTTTATTAAATAATAACTTATCATCTAATAAATAATAATATATTATCTAATAAATAATATATATTATTTATTTTGTTTAATTTAAATATATTTTTTTTTATCAGATATGCTTTTATCATCAATTTTCTGTTTATTATTATCTAACGCATTGTCTTTTAGACGTGATACAGCTATTCTGTATTCAAGAGTAGGTATTATAATCTTATTTTACTGTGTTTATTTATCTTATAATAATTTATTTATAACATATTTAGATAATGGTATAGGGTTATTTGGTGGTTTATTTTATACATCACCTATTACACAAATATTTCATATATTAATATTTATAATAAGTATATTAATACTGAATTTAACTGGGTTTTATCCTAGAAAATTAATATCTAGTGAGTATTTAAGTTTTAATAAATTATTATTTACAAAATTACAATTTGTTAAAAATATTGCTGTATCTAATATATTATTAAAAAAAGGAGAACAATATACAATATTAGAATATACATTAATGTTATTATTTATAATAACAGGAAGTATATTATTAATATCTAGTAGTGATTTAGTATCTATTTTTTTATCTATAGAATTACAAAGTTATGGTTTATATTTATTATGTGCTATGTATAGAAATTCTGAATCTGCTACATCAGCTGGTTTAACTTATTTCTTATTAGGTGGATTATCATCTTGTTTTATATTATTAGGTATAGCATTAATATATGCAAATTTAGGTGTAACTTATTTAGATAGTTTTTATGTTATTAATAATTTAGCAGGTATATTAAATGAACAAGAAATAACTACATATATACCTTATTGTTTATTATTAATAACTGTAGGATTTTTATTTAAAATATCAGCAGCACCATTTCATTTTTGATCACCTGAAGTATATGATGGTATACCTACAATAGTTACTACTTTTGTAGCTATCATAGCTAAAATTTCTATATTAACATTATTATTACAATTAGTTCATTATACAAATAGTATATATATTACTACAGAATATACTTGAACTACAAGTTTATTAATAAGTTCATTATTATCTTTAGTTATAGGTACTGTATTAGGTTTAACACAATTTAGAATTAAAAGATTATTTGCTTATAGTACAATATCTCATTTAGGTTTTATGTTATTAGCATTAACTATTAATAGTGTTGAATCTATACAATCTTTTATTTTCTATTTAATTCAATATAGTTTATCTAATTTAAATGCCTTTATTTTATTAATAGCTATAGGTTATAGTTTATACGCTTATAATGATAAAAATATTAATCATTATAATTTAATAGATAAAAATAACTCACCTATACAACTTATAAGCCAACTTAAAGGATATTTCCATATTAATAGTTTCTTAGCTTTAAGTTTAACTATAACTTTATTCTCATTTGCTGGTATTCCACCTTTAATGGGATTCTTTGCTAAACAGATGGTATTCTCAGCTGCTTTACAAGAAGGTTTTATATTCTTAACTCTTATTGGTGTTTTAACTAGTGTTATAAGTGCTGTATATTATTTATTTATAGTAAAAACTATGTTCTTTGATGGACATTCATATTCTTACTTTAATAGTTTAAAAGATATAAGAATACCTGCTCTTATTTTACAAAAAAATAAAGTAGTTAATAAAATATATTTTAATTCTAAATTTGCTTTATCTAGTTCTTTATCTATAACTATTTCTATATTAACTTTAATTATACTTTTATTTATGTTTATGCCTAATGAATGATTACATATGTCTAATATATTAGCTATTATATTATTTGTACCAGCTGGTATATAATAATTAAATAAAATTTAATTATTTTATAATTTATAAACTAAAAAAATTTTTTTTTAGATATATAATGTATCTAATTAACATATATATATATATATATATATTCTTATATTTACTTTTAATTATGATTATTATTATCTCTTTAGATATAAATAAACATAGAACGTAAATATATAAAACAAACAAAAAATAAAAAAAAAATGAGAATAATTAAAAGTCACCCTTTATTAAGATTGGTTAATGCATATTTAATAGATGCACCAACACCAGCTAATATTAGTTATCTATGAAATTTTGGATCATTATTAGCTTTATGTTTAATAATACAAATTGTAACAGGAGTTACATTAGCTATGCATTATACACCTAGTGTATTAGAAGCATTTAATTCTGTAGAACACATTATGAGAGATGTAAATAATGGATGATTAATACGTTATTTACACGCTAACACAGCTTCAGCATTCTTCTTTTTAGTTTACTTACATATAGGTAGAGGTTTATATTACGGATCATATAAATCACCTAGAACTTTAACATGAGCTATAGGTACAGTAATACTTATAGTAATGATGGCTACAGCTTTCTTAGGTTACGTTTTACCATATGGTCAAATGAGTTTATGAGGAGCTACAGTTATTACTAATTTAATGAGTGCTATACCTTGAATAGGTCAAGATATAGTTGAATTTATATGAGGAGGTTTTTCTGTTAATAATGCTACTTTAAATAGATTCTTTGCATTACATTTCTTATTACCTTTCGTATTAGCTGCATTAGTATTAATGCATTTAATAGCTTATCACGATGTAGTAGGATCAGGAAATCCTTTAGGTATATCAGCAAATTATGATAGATTACCTTTTGCTCCATACTTTTTATTTAAAGATTTAATAACTATATTCTTATTCTTTATAGTATTATCTATATTTGTTTTCTTTATGCCTAATGCTTTAGGAGATAGTGAAAATTATGTTATGGCTAATCCTATGCAAACTCCACCTGCTATTGTACCAGAATGATATTTATTACCTTTCTATGCAATATTAAGATCTATACCTAATAAATTATTAGGTGTTATAGCTATGTTTGCTGCTATTTTAGCTTTAATGGCTATGCCATTTACAGATTTATCTAAATTAAGAGGAGTACAATTTAGACCTTTAAGTAAAATTGCATTCTTTATATTTGTAGCTAATTTCTTAGTATTAATGCAAATAGGTTCAAAACACGTTGAAACACCATTTATTGAATTTGGACAAATATCTACTGTGTTATACTTTGCTCACTTCTTTGTTATAGTACCTGTAGTAAGTATTATAGAAAATAGTTTAGTAGAATTAGCAACTAAAAAATAATAATTATTTAATTTTATCATTATATTAATTTTTTATATATATGTTAGGAGTTTGAGCAGAGGGTTCTGCGTTTCGATTGCAAATCGAAATAAAGGGATTCGAGTTCCCCGAACTCTTTAGATATTATTATTTTTTTAATTTAATATAATAGTATTTTTATATTAAACATAAAAAGTTTCAATAAATATTATTGAGTATATTTATTAAATATTTATATATATATATAGAATAAAAACTGCAAGTTGTTAATTACAATAATAAAAATATAAATATTCTATACATATATATTATTATAATAAATAATAAAAAAATAAATGATAAGTATAATTTCAGTAATTGAAGGATTATTGTTAATAGTACCTGCTTTACTTTCAGTTGCATTTGTAACTATAGCAGAACGTAAAACTATGGCTTCAATGCAAAGAAGATTAGGTCCTAACGCAGTAGGTTATTATGGTTTACTACAAGCATTTGCTGATGCTTTAAAATTATTATTAAAAGAATATGTAGCTCCAACACAAGCAAATATATTATTATTTTTCATAGGTCCTATGATAACATTAATATTTGCTTTATTAGGTTATTTAGTTGTACCATTTGATAGTGGAATATTTGTATCAGATTATAGTTTAGGTATGTTATATATGTTAGCAGTTTCTTCTGTAGGAACATATGGTATATTATTAGCTGGTTGATCTGCTAATTCTAAATATGCTTTTTTAGGTTCATTAAGAAGTACAGCTCAATTAATTAGTTATGAATTAATATTAAGTTCTGTAATTTTATTAGTTATTTTATTAACAGGTAATTTAAATATGATTACTATTGTAGAATCACAAAGAATAGTTGATTTTTTATTACCATTATTTCCTTTATTTATAATATTCTTTATAGGTTCTATAGCAGAAACTAATAGAGCTCCTTTTGATTTAGCTGAAGCTGAATCAGAATTAGTTAGTGGTTTTATGACAGAACATTCTGCTAGTGTGTTTGTATTCTTTTTTTTAGCTGAATATGCTAGTATTATATTAATTTGTGTTTTAAATAGTATTTTATTTTTAGGTGGTTATTTATGTATTATACCTGTTGATTTTTTAATAGATATATTATCTTTATTTGGTATAAATAATTCTATACTTGAAGTAATATTTGTTAATATTTCTTCATCTCCTTTAAATTTAGCATTTAAAACTGCTTTTTTAATATTTGTATTTATTTGAACTAGAGCATCTTTCCCTAGAATTCGTTTTGATCAATTAATGTCTGTTTGTTGAACTGTATTATTACCTTTAATTATAGCATATGTTGTTTTATTACCTTGTGTTGTATACGGTTTAGATGCTTTACCTACAAATTTAGTACTTTAATTATTAATATTATAATTTAATTTATATATTGTTATATAATTGTTATATTATATAATATATTTTATATTATACTGCAATATAGTATATATGTATATGTATATTATGTATAACGATAATATAAACTAATATATACTTAAGCTTTATAACATATATAAAGTGTAATAAAATTAAGCAGAAAATAAATATAATAAAAATTTTATATGTCATTATTATTATTATTAATTCCATTAATTGGAATAAGTCTTGTAACAATAGAGGCAAATTATGGTTTATATTTAGTAAATAATATAAAACTAAAATCTATAGCCTTAACTACATCAATAATAAATTTAATTGTTTCATTAATAATGTTTATATTATTTGATTTTAGTAGTAAACAATTTCAATTTATTGAAGAACATTACCAAGTAAGTTATTTTGATATATATTTAGGTGTTGATGGTTTATCAATATATTTTATATTATTAACTACTATAATAATGCCTATAGCTATATTATCTAATTGAAATTCAATACAATCTCAAAATGTATTATCATTTGTAGTAATAATGTTATTATTAGAAACATTATTATTAGCAGTATTCTTAGTTTTAGATGTTTTATTATTCTATATTTTTTTTGAAAGTATATTACCTCCTTTATTTTTATTAATAGGATTATTTGGTTCAAGTAATAAAGTAAGAGCTAGTTTCTATTTATTTTTATATACTTTATTAGGATCATTATTTATGTTATTATCTATAATAGTAATGTCTTCTATTATGGGTACAACAGATTTTGATGCATTATCTAAAGCAAACTTTAGCTATGTAACACAATTATTTTTATTTTATGGTATATTTATAGCTTTTGCTGTAAAAACACCAGTTATCTTTTTAAATACTTGATTATTAAAAGCTCACGTTGAATCACCTTTATCTGGTAGTATTATATTAGCGGGTATAGTTTTAAAATTAAGTTTATATGGTATATTTAGATTAATGTTACCTTTATTACCTAAAGCTTCTTTAAACTTTACATATATTATTTATGTAATAGGTGTAATAACTATAATATATGCAAGTTTTAGTACATTAAGAACAATAGATATTAAAGAATTAATTGCTTACTCTTCTGTATCTCACGCAGCTGTATATTTAATAGGTGCATTTAGTAATACAATACAAGGTATAGAAGGTGCAATAGTTTTAGGTTTAGCTCACGGTTTTGTTTCACCTGGATTATTTATTTGTGCTGGAGGTATTTTATATGATAGATCTTCTACTAGATTAATTACATATTATAGAGGTATGGCTCAAATTATGCCTATATTCTCTATATTATTCTTTATATTATCTTTAGGTAATAGTGGTACACCTTTAACATTAAATTTCTTAGGTGAATTTATGTCATTATATGGTGCATTTGAAAGAATGCCTATTTTAGGTATATTAGCTAGTACTTCTATTGTATTATCTGCAGCTTATACTATATTTATGTATAATAGAATAGCTTTTGGTGGTTCTTATTCTGTATATTTTGTAGAAAACATAGGTGATGTTACTAGAAGAGAGTTTATTTTATTATTAGTATTTGTAATATTTACAGTATTATTTGGTATATATCCTGCTCCTATATTAGATGGTTTACATTACTCAGTTTCTTCTTTAATATATAATATTAATTAAATTAAATTAAATTAAATTAAATTAATTTACTTAATTTATAGTTAATAACATTTATATTATAAATGTTTTATATAAAATATTTAATTATAATTAAATATTTTATATTATATCTTCTTACTAGCTCAATGGCAGAGCAGAATACTTCTAATATTTTGATCCAAGTTCGACCCTTGGGTAAGAATAATAATAATATATAGTATATTACTGTTATTATTTGTAGCCTTTATAGCTCAATGGTAGAGCGGAATACTGTTAATATTTTGATAGATGTTCGATTCATCTTAAGGGCTTTAAAAAAAATTATATTAATAACTTTACCATATAATCTTTTATAGTGAGGATAAAAATTAAGAAAAAATATCTAAATAATAAAAAAAAATATATAAATATGCCACAATTAGTTCCATTCTTTTTTGTAAATCAAGTAGTATTTACTTTTGTTATATTAACAGTATTAATATATACATTTACTAAATTCATATTACCAAGATTTGTACGTACTTTTATTTCACGTATTTACATAAATAAATTATAATTAAATAAATTAGTAGTTATATATAACTAAAATATAATAATTTTTAATTATTAATATCTCAGTAGAGTTTCAATATGAAAATAATAAGTTAATATTTATGTATATCTTATAAATAAACAATAATATGCGTCATTTAGATTTTGTATTAAGTCCATTAGACCAATTTGAAGTAAGAGATTTATTTTCTTTTAACGCTAACTTATTAGGTAATTTACACTTATCATTAACAAATATAGGTTTATACTTATCTATAAGTATCTTTTTAATTTTAACATATAGCTTATTAGCTACAAATAACAATAAAATAATACCAAATAACTGATCAATAAGTCAAGAAAGTATATATGCTACAGTACATGGTATAGTAATAAATCAAATTAACCCAAACAAAGGACAAATGTTCTTTCCATTAATGTATGTATTATTCATATTTATTTTAGTTAATAATTTAATAGGTTTAGTACCATATAGTTTTGCATCAACATCACATTTTATATTAACATTCTCTATTAGTTTTACTGTTGTATTAGGTGCAACTATATTAGGTTTCCAAAGACATGGGTTAAAATTCTTCTCATTATTTGTACCTTCAGGTTGTCCTTTAGCTTTATTACCTTTATTAGTTTTAATTGAATTTATTTCATACTTATCTAGAAATGTTTCATTAGGATTAAGATTAGCAGCTAACATATTAAGTGGTCACATGCTTTTAAGTATTTTAAGTGGATTCACATATAATATAATGACTAGTGGTGTATTATTCTTCTTCTTAGGTTTAATACCTTTAGCATTTATTATTGCATTCTCTGGTTTAGAATTAGCTATAGCATTTATTCAAGCTCAAGTTTTTGTAGTTTTAGCTTGTTCATATATTAAAGATGGTTTAGACTTACATTAATATTATAAAGTAGTAAACTAAAAAAAAAAATAACTATAAATTTCAATATTTAACAAAATAATACCCATTATCTAAATCATTCATATAAGTACTAATCTACTTAATGTTTGTATATAAGGGTTTATAATATATATATATATATTATTTAATATATAAAATATATAAAAATTATTACATAATAATATTTAAAAGATATAAAAATTTTATGAAAATAGGAAAGTCCAATACTTATTAGGCATATACACTTGAATATATAAATTCAATAATTATAGAAATATAAGGATTTTAACAGAAACTAAAATTATACTAAAATACTAATAAGTAATAATAAAATAATAGCGAACAATAATCCTATGTTTAGTTTTCATTTAGAATTATTAAAATTAAAACAGAAACTGGCTTAATTATATCTTAAAAAAATAACCTATAAATTAATAGTTAAATAACTATTATAAAGCAATATAGGTGATATGTATCATATAAAACCAAAAAAAATAACTATAAATTTCAACATAAAAATGAAAATAAATAGCAATATAGGTGATATGAATTATATAAAACCACAAATTAAATGGTAAATATTATCCATAATAAATAAAAATAGAGAGTTTGATGATGGCTCTAACTGAACACTGTCCAAGTACTTGACACATGCTAATCGAACGACTAATTAGTTTAAGTATTCTTGTTATTCTTATAACTCACTTTAGGTGAGTGGTAAGAAAAATACTTAAAATAAGTAGTAGTGGTGTACAGGTGAGTAAAAGATAAATTGACTACCTTAAAGTAAGGGGAAAAATCCCTTATAAACAAAAGGTTAAAATCCGCTTTAAGATGAAAATTTTTATCTCGGTGAGTAGTAGGAAAGGTAATGACTTTTCTAGCAATAAACCGTAGTCGTAACTGGAAAGTTGATCGACCACATTGGGTCTGAAAAAAACCCAATGCTTTTATGTACAGCAGTGAGGAATATTGGTCAATGGCCGAAAGGCTGAACCAGTAACTTGGAAGAATGTAAGTGTATTTGTATAAATACAATAGCGATTATGTCGCATAAAATTCTAAATAGATTGTATATAATGACATAATCTATTTATAAGTCTTGACCAAACTACGTGCCAGCAGTCGCGGTAATACGTAGGAGGCTAGTGTTAGTTATCTTTATTGGGTTTAAAGGGTAAGTAGACGGTAAATTAAACTCTAAATGAGTACTTTTTTACTAGAGTTATATGAGAGAAGGAAGAATTTCTGGAGTAGAGATAAAATTCGATGATACCAGGAGGACTGTCAACGGCGAAGGCGTCCTTCTATGTAATAACTGACGTTGAGAGACGAAGGCTTGGGTAGCAAACAGGATTAGATACCCTAGTAGTCCAAGCAGACAATGATGAATGTCATACATTAGATAAAAAATTTAATGTATAAACGAAAGTGTAAGCATTCCACCTCAAGAGTACTATGGCAACATATAAACTGAAATCATTAGACCGTTTCTAAAACCAGTAGTGAAGTATGTTATTTAATTCGATGATCCGCGAAAAACCTTACCACAGCTTGTATAGCAAATTATAAAAAATTGTTACAAGCGCTGCATGGCTGTCTTTAGTTAATGTCGTGAGATTTGGTTAATTCCTTTAATTAACGAAAACCCTCACTTTATTTATTTATATAAAGTGGTTCGCTATTACATTGGACTAGATAATAGGGATTAAGACAAGTCATTATGGCCTAAATGCTGTGGGCTATAGACGTGCCACATACGCCTTTACAACGGGATGCTATATTGTGAAATGGAGCTAATCCCCAAAAAAGGAAATAATATGGATTGTAGTCTGTAACTCGACTACATGAAAAAGGAATTACTAGTAATCGTGAATCACCAACGTCACGGTGAATTTTATCTTAGTTAGGTACTAACCACTCGTCAGGCGCTGAAAAAAGAAGATGCAGTAAGTTTGATATATTTTGTGTAAAGTTATATATGTTAATGTTATATAAATATGCAGAATAGTTTTCGTGTGCAAAACTTTGATTGGTGTTAAGTCGAAATAAGGTTCGTGTAATGGAAATTGCACGGGGAGTATAAACTTTAAAAAAAATATTAATATATATATATTATATAATCTTACATGGGTATGCTAATACTGGTTCAAATCCAGTTATAGATTAAATATATGTCTATATAAGAGGGGTCCCACGCGTTGGTTTGTGGGTTGAGCTGTAAACTCAAAAGCTATAGGCTATCGAAGGTTCGATTCCTTTCCACTCTAGTTAGATAAAAATCTAATACTATCCTGACATTTATTATATGTTTGTATAAACTGCTAATGGATTTTATTATTTTATTATGAATAGTATATTTTTATTAAATGATTCTATAACTAATGGATTTAGAATAGAATGTGTAGATATTATTTATTTAGTATCTATTTGTTTAGGTATTACTACTATAGTATGTAGAAATCCTGTAGTATCTGTTTTATTTTTAATAGCTTTATTTATTAATGTTGCAGGTTTATTAATATTAGTTGGATATAATTTTTTAGGTTTAGCTTATATATTAGTTTATGTAGGTGCTGTATCTATTTTATTTTTATTCATTTTAATGTTAATTAATATTAGAATTTCTGAATTATTGACTGAAACTAATAATGATATACCTTTAGCTGTTTTAACTGTTTTATTATTCTATTATATTATAGGACAAACATTACCTTCAAATTTAACAGATAATACTATTGTTTCTTATTTATCTAATTCATTTTCTAACATATATAGTGTACAATTAAATAATGATTTAAACCAACAAATTGGTTATGCAAGTAGTAAAGGTTGAGATAGTTCATTAATAGAACCTACACATATAGCTAGTATAGGTAATATTATGTATACTAGTTATTCTATGTGATTAATAATTACTTCTATTATATTATTATTAGGTATGGTAGGTGCTATTGTTATAACTATTAAACAAAAATAGTAATATAAAGCTTAAACAATTAAATATTAAATTAAAATATGATATATAAATCAAAAAGTAATTTTCAAAATCATCCGTTTCATTTAGTATCTCCATCTCCATGACCATTATTTACTAGTTTGTCATTATTTATATTAACAACAGCTACAGTTTTATTTATGCATGGATTTCAAGGATTTCAATACTTAGTTCCTTTAGCTATATTTAACGTTATGTACGTTATGGGTTTATGATTTAGAGATGTTATTTCAGAAGGTACTTACTTAGGTAATCATACTAATGCTGTACAAAAAGGATTAAACTTAGGTGTAGGTTTATTCATTATTTCTGAAGTTTTCTTTTTCTTAGCTATATTCTGAGCATTTTTCCACAGTGCTGTATCTCCTAGTGTTGAATTAGGTGCACAATGACCACCTTTAGGTATACAAGCTGTAAATCCATTTGAATTACCTTTATTAAATACTATATTATTATTATCTTCAGGTGTTACTATTACATACGCTCACCATTCTTTAATACAAGGTAATAGAAAAGGAGCTTTATATGGAACAGCTATAACTATAGTATTAGCTTTAGTATTTACTTTCTTCCAAGGTGTTGAATATTCAGTATCTTCTTTTACTATTTCTGATAGTGTTTATGGATCATGTTTCTATTTTGGTACTGGTTTCCACGGTATACACGTTATGGTAGGTACAGCTTTCTTAGCTGTAGGATTATGACGTTTAGCTGCATACCATTTAACAGATCACCATCATCTTGGTTATGAATCAGGTATATTATACTGACATTTTGTTGATGTTGTATGATTATTCTTATATATTTCTGTATACTATTGAGGTTATTAGATATATATAATAAAAATTTATTTATGTATATATATATATACATAAATATGTAATTTATTTAAATATATAACTTTTTAAAAAGTTATTTAGAGACTTTAGTTTAATGGTAAAACATGTGACTTTTAATCATTATAATATGGGTTCAAATCCCATAGGTCTTAAAAATTTACTAATAATGACTATAAGTTAATGGTAGACTGCTTATTTACCATATAAGATGTGCTGATTCGAATTCGGCTAGTCATATATAGTAAATTATTTAAATATGAAAATTGTTATAATGGCTATAAGTTAATGGTAGACTGTTTACCTTCCAAGTAAAGTGTGTTGATTCGAATTCAACTAGCCATATATATACATAAGTTGGGTTAGTAACTTAATTGGTAAAGGGTTTTCTTGTCGAGAAAATAGATGCCGGATCGAAACCGGTCTAACTCGTATGTATATATATAAATAAAAGGAAAAGTTGCTATTGGTAGGGTAAGATATTTGCTAAATATTGTGTTTTGACACTTAGATGTTCGATTCATCTCTTTTCCGAAGAGCATAGTTTAATAGGCAAAACTGTAAGCTTCAACCTTATATTTCTTAGTTCAAGTCTAAGTGCTCTTGAATATAAATAATATAGTATAGGTTCTTTAACTTAACTGGTAAAGTGTATTCTTGATAAGGATATGTTCAGTGTTCGAGTCGCTGAAGAATCAAAAAAAAAAAAAGAGAGTTGGCTGAGTGGTTTAAGGCGGCTAGCTTGAGTCTAGCTAAAGGTATAAACTTTCATATGTTCGAATCATATACTCTCTGATACTTATAATGTATATAAATTATTTAATAATAATAATATATAATTCTTGAGTATTTATGTTATATATATTATATTATTATAAATAAATAAAAATAATAACTAGTTAATAAGTTATAAAACAGGTTAGTGTCCGGTGGTTGGTCGCTTCATTTGGGTTGGAGATTGTTTATGTTCGAATCATAATAACCTGATTAATACTATATTATAAGCAAATATAGG